TGGTAGTAGTGACACGAAGTAGTTCTGCAGCATAAACCAGCGGGTAACTTGAGTTGATTGTTTATAACATTTATAGTGAGCAAAAGTAAAAAGGCGCCACTCTGATGGTAGAGAAGCAGAACTTGTTGCGGCATTGTATATATGTATTTATTTCATTTTCGTAATTTTTGAAAACAATTTGTAATGTTTTAGTTCAAAAACAAAAAAAAAAAAATAAAATAAAAATAGAAAATGAAGCTAAAATGAATATGTTTAGCTGTTCATAATAACAATAATATAAGCTTTTTTCCACTTTAATTTTACATATGATTCATCACAGACAAAGGTCTAAATAACAAACAACAGTACAAACAAACATTAGTACCGTTAAATATTTTTGGCAGTTTTCTCTTCTTTTTTTACTTCAATATCTACACAATCCAATACACTTAACACCAAGGCTCCTCTCTAACAGTCTTTAACGCTCACTGCTGCCGCCGTAGCGACTGTTGCTTCCACACATAAATGCTACACATTCGCCTGCATGCTACTAACACTGCGGCTTTTGGTGTAAAAGGAAGTCTCAATTGTCTGCTTCCCGTAGAAAAATTCGTTAAAATCAAAGAAAAAAAAAATGATAAAACAAAAAAATATTTTCCTCACTGAAAGGCCTTAACTGTCTGGCCATATTGTCTGCGGCTACATTGGTGATGTCCGCCTGCAAGCTGCAACCGGTTGCCGGCGCGCCGTGAGTTACATGTCTGAGCCGGCAAGCGAATCAAAAGAACGCCTATTACTTATTCAGCCACTTATGAGCGGCCAAGCGCTGAGGCCTGTGAGTGAGTCAGTCAATCTATTGTGGAATTTTGGTGCAAGTAAAAATATTTACGCCACTTTTGCCACATAATAACCCATTGATTTACGTTGCAGTGACGAAAATTGCACTTTTTATGCCGCTAAATGGGCTCACACTCAGCTTAGCGGCATTAGACTGTGTCGTACTGTCGGATATTTCAAACATAAGCAATGAGCAAAAAGGTATGGAAAAATAATGAAATAGAAAAAACCAAACCACTTTAGTCTATGAAGTGTGGAGCGAGATCTGTAGATCTATTTAGAGCTTCAAAGCGAAGTTAGTCAACCAAGATATATAAGCTTTGATCAATTCGCTAAGCTGATAGCGTAGCTCGCTGCCAATATAAGACCTCTGAATCTGCGTTAAAAAAATTAGTAGAGCTGCTCAATGGGCTCTGGCCTCTCCCTGATTATCCAAAGTTTAAACTTTTTTGGGTTCCATTTTTAAAACCAAGTTGTAAACCCTAATGTAGAAATGTAACTATTTTACACCTCCCAATTATCTACCGATGTGTGTAGTGGTCCTGCATGTCATGCAGATGTTTGAAAATTATCATGCGAAGGTGGGTAATTGCATTTATGGGTTGTTTGTAGCCACGAAAAAATAGGGAAACTTGCAAAGTGGGTTCAAAGGAAAAAAATCAAAGACAAATTTGATTGGACAGAACAAAAAAATGTGTTTCTTACTAACGGAAGTTTTCCCATTTTCCGTTTGAAACACTGCATCAACACTTCCGCTTGTCGGTGATATATATCTTTTTATTAATTTGCGGTTTATTGTAACGGTGTTTTAAGCTAGTATTTACAGACATGTAAGATGTTGGGAAACCTAATGTTTTGGTGGCTGTTTGAGAACTGAAAACTAATAATAATAAAAAGAATAATAAAATTATTTTGAGGCTTTCATTCTTCGTGAAGAGTTCCATCTTTACTGCTCTGTAACCTCACGCTGTACTCACTCTCAACTGGAACGGTCTTATGTGGTGGCGGAGAGTGCTTACCAACATTAACGATATAATCTTAGATAATAAGAACATGCTACGACAAACTTTGTTGTACTCAATTCAGGTGACTTTTCGATATCCATCAGCAGTTCAGAGGAGGCCTAGTGCAAACCCTAGGTCGCTCCATTTGATGGATAAACATTAAGACGCACACCATCGTTTTTCTTGAAACCCTTTTGACATTTTGAAGGTAATTTCATTATGCCTCTCTCTTAGAAACCCTTTTCCCTATTGGCAAAAAATTGGAACAAACGATTTTCACTCGCTTCTCTTGAGCCCAATTCTTCACCAGTCAAATCATTCGCCATAGACAGCAGTAAATGATAATCACTTGGTGCGCGGTTCGGTCTATAAGATGGATGCATGGGAGCCTCCCAACCAAACACTCGTCGTTTATGGTGAGTCACTATCGATGTGTGTGGGGTCTGGCGTTGTCCTGATGCACAGAATTCCCCTCGTTTCGGCCAAAAGTGAGCGCTTCTGGCGGGCCAATTGCTGACAATATAGGTCCGAATTAAAAGTTTGGCCATAGGAGAGCAACTCAAAGTGGATGATTCCTCGCTAATCAATATACTACAAAACCTGCCTGCACGTCAATCTTCGCTTGGAGACCATATGTACCGGTTCACACCCGTTTCACCACGACCATTTTCATTTGACATTGCTGTAGATGATTCTCTTTTCAACACCAGGCGCCATCAGTTTCAGAAATGGGTCAATTTTGTTACGATTCAGCAGCAATTCGCAGACGGAGTTTCAGTCAAGGGGGTTTTTTTTCATTAACTCATGTGGTGTATAATCGAACTTTTCAAGTGGTTCCAAATGGTTTTTATGCTATGTTTAGCTCCTGGGCATTCGAAACAGACTCAACGATATCCATTATTTTATCGACATTTGCGACAATTGGGGAATCTTTTACATCAAAAACCACCGAGACAGCTTCAAAATCAAATCTTCAATACTCTAAAACCTATACTTTAGGGTATCAAGTTCTTGGCAAGTCTCCTTAGATGTGAGATAATAACTGTTTTGGCAGATAAGTAAATTTCTCAATCGTCAGCTTGGAACTGTCAGACAATATAGAAATAGAGTTTATTTGAGTTTGATTTCATTCGCCCCAAAAATCCTTTAACTGTATACTTAACGGTTAAATTTTTAGTCAGTTCGAATTGTGTAAATAAACGACTGAATTTGGAGGAGTATGCTGAACCACATTGTGGCTCAAAGTAAATAAGTTTGGGATTAGAATTATTTCAGGATTAATTCTTAGAGAAAATTGTGAAAAATATATTATATAATAATTATATGGAGGAGCAGCAAAGTTTCATCAAGTCTTCGACTAAGCTTCGAATTAGGCTATCTTGAAGGAAAATTTAAAAAAATTAAATTTGTGGTATGAATTCACCTCATATACGATGTGAAGATGTCTGCATTTGTGTTATCGAATATTTTTCATTTTTTAATAGGACGATAAGTTAGTGTACAGATAAGACTTGGACCTATCGTTTAAGGAAATGTTGAGTCTTTTAAGAAACTTCGTTGCTACAAGATCTCTTTCGTTTTTTGAGTAAAAAAAGATACTCTCAGAAAGAAATAGTGTTTTTCAGGCTTTTTAAACTTGAAAGATTCTTCGAAGAAAAACGAGGTTATGTTTAGTTTAAATTACGTTACGGTTTCGACAAAATTCTGACAAAAATTATGTTCACTTTATTTCTTTTTATTTCTTTTTTAAAAAGAAACCGAAGAAGTTCGAAAATTACAAATTTTTTCCAAGTTTGAAAAAAACGTTTACTTTTTGAAAGCAAATTCACTTCGAATTGCAAAAAAATATTTTAAATAATAATTTTGTACTACTTTTATAAAAAATGAATATTGATGATAGATCATTTTTTTCGATCGGATATATCAGGTGTACAACTTTGCTTCCGCCGTTTTCCGATAGGTGGCTGTACCGGCTGAGGCTGGTTGAAATACATAGATGATAATGCATTTAAAATGAGTGTGGACAGTGCCTAACGAATTGTCATCGTCGTTTCAGTGACAGTTGTTCTTGTTTTCGTATTATTCACGCTCGAAAATGTCCGTTTATGTGCCTAATTCTCGCCGTTTGCGGGAAGTTTTACTTTTCTGTTACAATTCGAAAAAAAATGCAGCTGAAGCGCATCGAATGCTCTCAGAAACTTACGGTGATGCTGCTTTGAGTAAAAGTACGTGTCGGGAGTGGTTTCAACGTTTTAAGAATGGTGATTTCGATGTTGAAGAGAAACAAGGTTATGATTTGTATTTGGTGGGATCAGCTCGGTGTGATTTACTACGAGCTCTTAAAACCGGGTGAAAGCATCACAGTAGATCGCTACCGAACGCAACTGATGCGCCTTAGTCGCGCGCTAAAAGAAAAGCGGCCACAATATCAAGAGCGACATGACAAAGTCATCCTCCAACACGACAATGCTCGGCCTCACGTCGCAAAAGTGGTCAAAAAGTACCTGGAAACGCTGAAATGTCGCTCCTGCTGGCTTCCACCTATCCGTTCGATGGCACACGACCTGGCAGATCAACATTTTCAATCCTTCGAAGAATTGGAAAAATGGATTGCTTCATGGATAGCGTCAAAAGAGGACTCCTTTTTTCGATGCGGGTTCTGAAAATTGCCGGAAAGATGGGAGAAAGTTGTCGCTAGCGAAGGACAATACTTTGAATAATATATCTGCAAGCACTTTTTCGCAATAAAGCTTTTAATTTTGGAAAAAAAACGGCGGAAGCAAAGTTGCAAGCCGATATATTCTTTTTGCTATCACCGGCACCGTTTTCTAACACTTGCAAAAATGAAAACTCGAGAAAACGAGTCTCAAACTCCTGTTTGAGCACTCGTACCTGCGCGACGCTCGGCCACTAAAATTGCTCTAGCTTCTAAAATATATCGAATTGGCCACTGAAGTCTTGAAGACATATTCCTGGATAGTTTTAGAATAGATTTAAGAAAAAGAATTGATGTTTTGAAGCCCATAAAGCAGACTATGCTGCCTTAAAGTCCTTACAAATTTTCAGAAATGAACACAGAGAAACATTTCACCAGAAAACTATAATTATGGCACGGATAAAAACCGTTAAAACTCTAAACTGATCTGAAGAGAATATTTTTTTAAGAAAAAAGAAACTTACAATTATTTAGCTCCGATATTGTTGAGAGTGATAAATAAATAAATTGATTGTATATAATAAACACCAGCCATATTCTCATGACGTCACCAAAACTATTTTTTACACCAAAAACTCAAAGCCAATCGCGAAAAGCTACTTGACGTTGCTTTTAAAAATTTGCGTACGCGTTTAAAAAGTGCGACCGTTTGTGTGAGACGTGCTCAAAAGACTGCTTGTGGTTTTCCATGGACATCGAGTGCCATGCAGCGCCCATCTTAGCTGGTTCTTGTGATTACTGCCACTGCCAAGTGTTAGAAATCAAAATTCAAATGTAATAATACTGCATATACACACATACACGTATATCATTATACATGTGTGTGCTTGTGTGTGCCAGTGGTGTAGGAAAGCACGTTAAATTGCAGGCTAAAGCGTGTAGTAAATTAGTGAATAAAGCGCGCATGCCCCTTGTTGATGGTTGTAAACATTGACTAACCAACAAACAAACATGCATACGTGTACATACACACATACATATATCGCGTACTATATTCTAGTAATAGTAATAACATCTTTTCTTTTGCCGAAACGCCGGTTTTGTTGTCATTCAATGCCAAGAATTTCATTCATAAATTTGCGACACGTGCAATCTGAGCAACTGTTGATTGGTTACTAAGGGGTAAATCAAAAGGTGTACGAATAGTGCAATAGCAAAAATGTGAATGCAATGAAGTGTTTTCTTAATTAAGCAACACATGCACTTAATAATAATATTTTATATTGAGGTTTAAAATTAAATTATTTAATTTTTTCCTTTGTATCAGGTGTACAACTTTGCTTCCGCCGTTTTTTTTCCAAAATTAAAAGCTTTTTTGCGAGAAAGTGCTTACAGATATATTATTCAAAGTATTGTCCTTCGCTAGCGACAATTTTCTTCCAACTTTCCGGCAATTTTCGGATCCCGGCTCGAAAAAGGAGTCCTCTTTTAACGCTATCCATGAAGCAATCCATTTTTCCAATTCTTCGAAGGATTGAAAATTTTGATCTGCCAGGCTGTGTGCCATCGAACGGAATAGGTGGAAGTTAGCAGGAGCGACATTTCAGCGTTTCCAGGTACTTTTTGACCACTTTTGCGACGTGAGGCCGAGCATTGTCGTGTTGGAGGATGCCTTTGTCATGTCGCTCTTGATATTGTGGCCGCTTTTCTTTTAGCGCGCTACTAAGGCTCATCAGTTGCGTTTGGTAGCGATCTCCTGTGATGGTTTCACCCGGTTTTAAGAGCTCGTAGTAAATCACACCGATTTACTCTCTTCCACCACCATGTTTGTCTTCGACATCGAAATCACCATTTTTGAAACGTTGAAACCACTCCCGACACGTTCTTTCACTCAGAGCAGCATCACCGTAAGTTTCTGAGAGCATTCGATGCGCTTAAGCTGCATTTTTTTTTCGAATTGTAACAGAAAAGTAAAACTTCCCGCAAATGGCGAGAATTAGGCACATAAACGGTCATTTTCTAGCGTGAATAATCCGAAAACAAGAACAACTGTCCCTGAAACGGCGATGACAATTCATTAGGCACTGTCCACACTCACTTTAAAGGCATTATCATCTATGTATTTCAACCAGCCTCAGCCGGTACAGCCACCTATCGGAAAACGGCGGAAGCAAAGTTGTACACCTGATACGTACGGTGAGGGCTTACAGGGAGACAAATTCTTGGCGAACACAATAGCAGAGTGGTTAGCACTTTTGCTTTCTGACAGCCAGGGTTCGAATCGTAGTTCGTCCAACGTCCAGTATTATAGAGAATTAATTTTTTTTTAATTACGGTCACTCCTCGGTGGGGAATGTCAAGCTCTCCAAGTAGAAATATATTTCATAAAAAACCATCGTTCGTGCGGAGACTGCGCAGATTAAACTGTAGATCCCTCCATTTTGTTAAAAAATATTAGGACACATACTACAAATTGGCGGAGGAGCTCTGCTGTAATTCGCTTCAACTGTCTCAAATATTATATTCCCTGCGGGTTAGGGATTCAAGAATTTACCCGCGGTAAGGCATGCCTGTCGTAAGAGGCGACTAAAATCCAATTATTCCCGCGACAGTCGGGTCTTTATACCGGAACGACACGGATTTTCAACCGGCCAAGTATTGTCACTCCCGCAACATTCCCTAAAAAATACTTTGGGGAATGTTTTTGCGGCTACAACAACAACAACAACATCATATTCCCTCCCTGGAGATTTTGTTTAAAATTGTTCAAGGTTTGGATCCAATAAAAATTTTTGATATTACCTCTTTCAGAGCCTGTTATACTACAGTCGGAAATTTTAATTTCTTATATTGTACATCTGAAATGAATGCTTCTTCTCATTTCTTATCTAGTTAAGCTTACCAATTAACTATATAAGACCACTGTTAGATTGGTCTAGTAACAAGTATTCCAGGTTTTATAAGTGGATTGGCTTACGCCAGATGGCATTTGAAAAAAATGGGAGAAGTGTTGATCACTTAAGAAAGAAAAGAAAATAAAAATGCATAAATATGTACCAACATTTTTCTTCGATAAAGATGAAATCGCCAGTCGCATTTGATCCTCACACCATAACAGTCAAATTTGGCTTCGTGGATTTCGTTCCGATAATTTTGATGTAAAATATGCTTCACAGTGCGATAAGAGAATAATGGAGATCGTCGATTCTGACTGTCAGGCGATCACTGTTTCGATTGCCCAGGAGCTAAAAATTGCAGAAAAAACAATTTTGTACCCACTTGAAAAAGGCTGGATACACAAATAAGCACGATGTATGGATGCCACACGAGTAAATGAGAAAAAACCTCAAGGAGCGAAAAAGCCTCATCAATCGAGCCATTTCCGATGGTGACTGTCATTTAGAGCAACTTCAAACGAAAACATTCGTGATCGACACAAATGGTCTGGAAGACAGGATTAATGACCAGAAAGGGTTTGTTATATGTTTGGGATTGGCAAGAAATCATCAACTATTAGCTGCTCCCCTACGGCCAAACTCTTCATTCGGACCTGTCTCAACAACTTCTGCAACTTTTTTCCTTATTAATCTGCTTCGGATAACCCATAAAATGTTCCTTTTTTTAGTCCGACAGGTAAAGTTAAGGATAAGCAGCTACATTTATTTCCATCCTTCAAATAGAGTGACTGAAGATAGTTTTTTCCTAAACTACGTCCGTGCGCTTCATGGATTTTTGTCATTCATGTCCGAAATACACTCTCACATCCGTCGTCTAAAACATTTTATTTGTTGATATCAACTCCCCTTGACACATCCCAGTTGGAAACGCCAAATTAAGACCCAGTTGAAGACATGAAAGGTAGCTTTGGATCTACCAAATATGATCAAGGCAGATGATCTCGCCAGCTATTAGAAGTGTCAGAGAATAATGGAGATTGATGAAAGGCCATAATTGTTGGATCAGATGAGAAGTTGTGTTACTCACTAACTATTATTACTATTCTTCGGTGATCTCGGTTTGGAATGTCTTATGTAATGACATTTCTGTAGTTTTTGAGCTTACGATTAACCCACAGAAGGGAATAATGTTCTGCAGTCATCAATATTAGCAGTGGCCTACCAAAGAATCCGACCCTGGGTCAGTTGATATTTTGCTACACAAACTACAGTAATGTGCAAGGAGATTACATAACTCATCAACTCAATACCTGGCCATACAGACATCCAATAAGGTCTCCACTTTATCGGAAACTAGTAAACGATTCCCGGTTAAGACAAACGGTTAAGGCGTAGCCTCTATGAAGCATAACTGAGTACAAGAAAGGAAGCTGGGGTAGTACTTCTTCTTGGAACCTTTTCGTGTGAGCTGCTTACCATTTTCGAGGGGTCTTCCCGTATTCAATAAGCCGCAGTTGTTATGGTTGGTTTTCTGGTTGATCGATTGGTTACCTAGAAAAAAAGTAGTATTGATTTCTAGCTTTTATTAAGGGAGTTCTGTGGAGCATGACGAGTCAATTCCTGCATTTGTAAGACTTTTTTTGGAGTACCACGCTAGTTAGGGAGTTTCATTGTGATTAAAAAGTAAAGACTACGAAAATTTACATAAGGCGCGAGAATTGCAGTATCATATTTGAAGACCGATAGGTGTCTAGTGAGACTAAGGTTTGGATATTAAGCATAGAAGGTAAGCTTCTTCCTGCTTACACCACAGTTGAGTTCACGACTTACTATGGATATTTCAAACTTGCAAGCCACACTTTTGCTTCTCCTTTGTAGCTACTCATTTCATGAGTTGAGTTGACTTGGAGTGAGTTGATTGGAGAGTGAGCGACCTAGTACACTTAGCATCTCCGGGCCAATATGATACTACTTTTGGATACAAGAAATAGGTCTCTCTAATTTTCAAAATAATTACTTACTGAAGCTCATTCGGTAGAGTAAGGTAGTAGAGGTAAGCACTTCCAAGTAACCGATGTTGAGCCGAGAAACCTTGAATTAATACCTCTGCCTGCCGTACCGCCGTTCTCTTTGACAAGTCAACTTGTAGCATGGAACCCTTGTAAAGGGTAAATTGATGTTTGCTATTTCTACATAAAGTTTAGTCAATTCGCATACATACACACATATATACATATACATATTTATGCTTGTCTGTCAGCATAGATAATAAAAGTGTTTAAGTAAGAAAGCTCATTTCCACCTGCTCATGTGTGTTGAGCGTTAAGTTGAATCAGCAATTTTCGGGCTGAATAAGAAAACGCGCACACACGTGTATGCAAACCTCTTCGCGAACTTTGGCGTATAATTGACTAATTGTTCTCGAATTCATATTTTCTTCACATTTGTTTATTATGCTGCATTTGCAGGAAATTAATTGGTTGCTCAGGTGGCAGATTATTATCACATGCTTCCTTCAAGTAAAAATATATGTATAAATATATATACATATATTGAAGAATATTCTAAACTAGATTATTCATTGAACTAAAAAAAAAAGAGCACAGACAAAGACCAAGCACATTTCTCAAGCCATTATTTATATTGACCCTGGAAAAACAATTAAATACCCGAAATTATTAGCTGAACCGACAAATATTGTTCTGCCAAAAATTAATGTTGCCCCTTAGTCTTGATGCTAACTCTTGCAGAAGACACAT